GAAATTAAAGTTGAAATGAGCTGGTTGAGAGAAGCAAGAAAGGATGGCAGCTGGGAAGGCAGAGCCGGGGGGAGCACGCTGGGATGGGGTGGCTGGGGGTGTCAGCAGGGGCGGAGCAGACAGGGAGGACCCAGAAATGGCTCGCGGGGCTCCCAGCGGCCGTCAGTGGTGCAGAGCAGAGTCCAGCCAGCGCGCTGGGAACGGCCATGGGGAGAGGCTTCCACGGAGCTTTTCACGTGTTATTAAGAAGCTGTGTGTCTGCTAAGAGCACATGAGATTGGCAACCGGGAAAGGCGAATTCCAGCGGAGAACTGCCGCTGCGGAGGGGTGCCACAAGCAGCGAGGGTGGCCCTGCAGGACCCCAGCAGGAAAGGCCCAGAGGCCTCAATGGGAAGCCAAAGCAACTACGGAGAAGGAGGTAAAGCAAGGACGGGAGGAGAGAGAGTCAGAGCAGGAAAAGAACAAAACAGAACAGGGCATCCGAAGCGAGAGCTGATATGGCAAGTCAGTCCTCCGTTATTTCCTCGTCCTTGTACCACAGCGGAGTCCAGAAGTACCTGTCAGCGTTCGGTCGCATCCTACTTCACGTTGCATAAACTGAGAGAGATACGGCCAAAGCTCCATGGTATTTACAACAGCCTCACTCAGCACCCCCTGAAAGCTACCCTTACGGCAAACCCAAAAGGCACATGGTCCAGCTCAAACATCGCTACACAAATTTCTTCATCTTTACATTTCATATGAAAATAATTGTGTTTTCTCCCAAGGACAGTTTACTACTTCTATAAAATCACTGCAGAATCACTTTAACTTCCACAAATAGTCCAGCATGTACCTCCAACATCTTGCCACAGCAGGCAAACTAAACAAGGTAGCAGTATTCCCTGCTACAAACCTTTAGTTTATGTCGGTGACTGGACTTTCAACACTAAAGTTCCCACCACATCAGCAAAACCTTTGTGTCTATGCCTTACATACACCTAAGGGTGAAAAAAACAACCAAGATCTGCCTCATTTTCTGCTGATGTACAGACAGAAACTATTAGTTTTGTGAGCGAATTTATCACGTAGGGTTAAACTGTAACGCTGGTGCAACTTTTACAGATCTATTTTTAGGGGCAACCATCTGCTTCGAAAGACATTTTAAAATTTTATAAATAAAAACAATTACAAACACAAAAACCACAACCGAACCTGCCCCAAAGAGAAAACACAGACTTTCACCAAGAACTGTTGTGTATTAGTCTCACAATCTTTATTTCAGCCGGCCTGGACGCAGACAGATGCACTTGCGATCCAAGAAGTCTTTCCCCGGCCGTGCCTCACGTGACAGTAGCACCTTTTGGCAAAGGAGAGCATGTTCCGGGAGCCAAGCAACCATTTCATCGACATTTTTTCATGTTGATTTCAGTGGAAAACACGCAGTAAACACACTTTCTCCTGCTAAGACACCCCGAGATGTGGAACCCAGCAGAGTGATTTGTAAACAACTGTTTGCTACTACCAGTGAAAAGGATCTGGATCATCCTGAAGTGAATTCCCTTTTGGGAATTCTATCTAGATAAGGCAGTCACACCAACCAGCTTCCCTGCAGGTGCGGCAGGGATCTTACAAAACCTGGCCGAAAGGCAGACAGATACTCGGGTTACACAACGGAAAGAGAAGATGGCAGATGCAGATTTCACTCCGTCAGGTGTACGTTTTCTCAGACCTGACAGTGTCACTGTGAGCTGAGCCTTTCTGCCCACTGTCACTGTGACCTAAGCCTTTCTGCCCGGCATCAGCGGGAGTGAGAAGAGAGGGACCCCACCGCTGGCAGCCCGGTGCAGGGGGGCATGGCAGGGGAGCACGCCCCACCAGACGTGCAGGGTGTGAGGCTGAGTAACAGAAATCCAGCTGTACGATGTATCAGTGGAAAGGCTGGAATTAAAGCAATACCAAAAAAAAGTGTTTTCCTGCGAATACTATTACCACTTCTCTGTCAATAGCACACGTCTCTGAACCAATTAAGAATTGTTTAAATTTATCTTTTACTCTGTGCTCATGTTTTGCAATTGTTATATCCTCATTCTTCCTTTGGGCTGAAGAAACTGCTCGTTCGCTACTCTTGCAGCAGTTTTTTTTTTGACTTTCAGACATAATTAAACATTCTGGGAGGTTTCCAGGCACGTTACAGGAGGACATAACCCACTGTCAGACCTCTTCGGTCCATCGGGGTCTGCTGACAAGGGGAAGAAGAATTAGGCAGAATGAAAGAGTGCGACACCATCAAAAAGGGGAAAGACAGGAAGATGTATCTCAGAAGAAGAAGAAAAAAAAGGTAGGAAAATGCTCTGAGTGAACTGCCGAGGAGGAGGAGGAGGAGCAGGAGTACGGGAGATCTCTGAAGCAAAGCTGGGTCAGAAGGAGAAATGGAACTGACCCATAAGGGAGCACCAGCAGCATTTGCAGAGCGGACCGGCACTCCGGCACCAGCGGCACTCGACAGCCGCCGCCTGGCTCGGGACGCCGCTCCTCAGGCGCCTTCTCCGCTTTGACTCAAGCTTTCTGACAGGAAAACGCACCCGCCCGGCGCTCCGCACCGAGCAGGGTGCCTCCAGCGGCCCTCCGGCCTGCAGGGCCGGGGTTCCCCTTGGGGCTC